ACTCTTGTCTATATTTTCCTTATTCTCTTCTCGCTTGCCGGTTACGTCTTCTCTCAGCAGAATTGTGAGTACATTCGAATTACGCGAGATTTGAATTTCGATGCAAATCAGTAAAGTTATATCTTACGTGATAAAAAAGTTCGAGAGATTTAGCTATATAGATTTTGAGTCTTTTTGTTAAAACGTCTCTTAAAGGACATTTCAAAATAAGGATGTCTCTTAAATCATCCTATAAAAGTCTAACTCTTTTAAATATCTTTCGTACATTTAAGATAAATTTCTAGTTCTCAAACAATCCTTAAATTTCAATTTTAAAAGATATTGTAATTCTTTAGATATTTTATATATATGTACTTTTTAGGTATTTTTAGATACTTTTTATATTCTTTTTTATATACTTTTTAGACATTACATTAAATCAATTATTATTAAAATACTTATTTGTTGATAAAAAATCGCGTTAGAAATTGATTTCTAAATGAAAATTTACTGCTATTCAATTCATAATTAACTGAATTATTAGAATTTTTTTTCTTATTTTACAAATAGCGGGAAGCACTGTCGCGTTCATCGGTGATAAATGCGAGAGAGATATCGATTGCATTGACAATGCATTTTGCCGGTGGCAAGAAACTTGCCAATGCGATCCATTTTACTCACCGAGTCTCGACAAATCAAAGTGTACTGCCAGTGAGTTTACTATATATCATTATCACTATTACTCATCTTTCAAGAAAGATAATTGAGATCGCAATATTACGCAAAAGAAAGTTGATTTAACAAGAAGCGTAGTTTTGGACAAATCAACAAACACAATTAGTTACGATAATATCGCACATACAATTTATTATTTTTAGAATTTTCTATGGTTTATGTTGTTTAAAAATTAATTTGATTCGATTGTTTGGTTACATTATACGAGTCTCATTAATAAATCTCTTTGTGCATGTCTATTTGTTATATTATATTTTCTTTGTTGACTTTTTCGAATATAGTTCCTGATCATATTATAAGACATATCATATATTTTTTACAATTTACTAATTTCCAAGAGTCAAAATATAATATTACAACCATTTATCATTGTTGCAATTAATTAAAGTATAACTGAAAGAAAATAATTATATATATTTATAAAATAAATGCATTTATAATTCACTTGTTATTTACAAGGTCCATAAAAACATAAGAATCTTAATATATTACGGAAATTTTGTCTATAATTACATAATTTGTTTATTTGTCACAGAGTAAACTTTAATTTAAATATTTATACGTATAAAATTAAGGTTAAACGATGGTGACTCAATAAAAAACGTGTACAATATTTTTTTGTTTTACAAAAATTAATGAATATTTGATGGATATCAAAATTGTTCTTTTATTAAAAATTAAAAAATCAGAATAAAATGTTTCATATAATTATATATATAATTTTATTAATTGTATATAAAATATGTTTATTTATATATAATTATATATAAAACATTTTTTGCCGAGAAGAAAATTGTATTTTAAATATATAAAAATAAAAATAATCACTCGGCTACTCAAAGTGACTCTATCAAAAAATTCGTGCGTAATAATATATGGCCTAACTATAAAATAAAATTATTTTCGAGTGTAAATAAAACTCCTTGTATTTTATTTGCAGCTGTTGGACTAAGTTGTGTGGATAACGTACAGTGTCAAAGTATAGCAAACGGCGAATGTAAACAGAATACATGCACATGCAAAGATAACTTCTTTTTGGACAACCATAATTCTTCAAATTGCATTAGTCGTAAGTAAAAATCATGATACTTATACTGAGATACATAAAAGAGTTGCAAAAAGAATCGGATATCACTTCTTGTCTTCGCACTCAGCAAATAGTTGAAAGAAGAAATATTGCAGGACCCTCCAAAATCGGTGACCGTTGCCATGTAAATACAAATGATAATATGTGCCAGGAAAGATTCAATTTTGCGTTGTGCATCAACGAGAAATGCGAGTGTTTCACAGGACATCATTTTGTAAACGAAACAAGGACCTGCGTGAAGAGTCGAGGTATGTACTCGCGTCTTTTATTTTATATAAAAGAGAAGAGAGACGATCGATTGAGATTGTTAATCTCTGTGCTAGAAGAAAAAAAAGGGAAATCAAAGAACTCTCTCTTTCTCATCAGAAAAAATTAATGGATAAATGTTATTCGAACCTCTCTCTCTCTCTCTCTCTCTCTCTCTCTCTCTCTCTCTCTCGGAAACTTTTAAGAGATTTTTTATCTCTGGAAATCTAGTAAAGAAAGCTATACTTTCAAAAATTTTTTTTTGAAAAATCTGTGCTACAGATTTTTGTAAGCTTTTATAGATTCATTGTACATTATTATTGAACTATCTTCAATAAAACTTTAATATGGAAATATTTATATAGTTTCATATTAAGAGTTATTAGCCATCAAATAAGATATAAAAACAGATATTGACAAACAATTGCATATCTCGATTCTAGATGATCTCAAACAGAAATTCCAAGAAATTTTTCTTTATAAATAGTTCAAAGGAGAACATGAATTTTGAAAAATGAAGGCAAATAACAAATAGCCAGTTTAAAGATAAAAATCGATTTTTTACATAAAGATCTTCAGCAGAGAAAAATATTAAGTTTTTAAATTACAGGAAATCTGAAATTCATGCTCTTCTTCGAACTATTTATAAATGAATATTTTTTAGAATTTCTGTTTTAGATCATTATTCAGAATAAAAATCTCTTGCACACAGAATCGTGCATTATAGGTTTTTCAAAAAAAATTCTCAAAAAGCCTATGTTCTTTTATTAAACTTCCAAAGAGATATAAGAGCTTTTAATAAATTTTTATTAAAAGCGTTTGGATTATAGCTTCATCAAATTCTTTACTTTCTACTTTGTGCAATTTCGAAAACTAATCAAATTAGTTTTCGAAAGAATTGTGTATTAATTTTCAATGTTACTTTATTGTTTTACAGCCCTATACTACACTTGTTCGAACCACTACGAGTGCTACGACAGTAGCAGGTTTCCGGACACCATGGAATGTAAGAATGATCAGTGCGTGTGTAAAGAGGGAGAACAATGTTCTAAAGGTTAATTGCACTTAATTGTATCGTTACAAACTAATTCGGCCCAATTCTTCTAAGACATTTGAGTTTTTATCTTTTTTTCGCAGGTTCATTAATGACAGCCACCGGAACACTTCTGATAATTTTGTTCTTCCTACAACGAATTGCACGCTAGAAAATTAATACGTATAGTAGGATATTCAATTATTTTGATCCATTTTATAATGCCGTTTTATATTAAGATAATTCAGTGCAAGTGTCATGTAAATTATACTTCTGATAATAATTTAATTCATTCAATTTTAATAATTTAGCTATTTTTTTTATACTCGATTTTTCTATTATATTTATATTTTTAATAAATATAGCTCTCAATATGACTAACAGATGTAATATGGAGTTTCACAAAAATTCTGGCAATTGTTATCGAAATAAGAAAGCATAATGTGGAAAGAAATAAATCTTTATCCGTTTTACTTATTTTTGACACTATTATATCATCATATTACATCAATTTTTTTACCAATCTCTCCTCTTGTTCCGAACGTTACCAGCATTAGTGGCGACCTCATAGCTATGACACAGGAAATGAAGAACTAATATTTAATATGGCTGTCATATGGAAATCATCGTTTCCGGTGTCATAGCTATGAGGTCGCCACAAATGCTGGTAACGCTCGGAAGAAGGGAGATTGGTAGCTCTGAGAATTACGGAGGTTATATGATCGAGCTGATATAAATTACTATTTATAGTTCTAACGCACGTGGCATTTGAAAAAAGGTAATTTCCGTTAACATTTAGTTAATAATGTATAATTTCTTAAGTATAATCTATATTTTCGTCTGATTTTCGCGTAAAGAAATTTGTCGCGAAAAATCAGGTTATGTCACGTCTACATTGGAATAAAATGTGCACATTCTTTTTGTACTTAAATTGTACGACGGATTGTTTGTTAGACAATATATATATGCGTATATGTATATATATATATATTTATTATATACAGTCATTTATTATATATTTCTATTATATATTTCTATTATATATTTAGTCTATACATAATAGGATGTCAATACAAGTCTTGACGGCTTCATATTAAATTCACATTATATAACATTCAGTATCAATATTAATAAAAATCTATCATATCATAAAGAAGACTAGCTATGAATTTAAGATCTGATTAAACGTATATATTTATATACATTCTTTCGATATGTATCATTTTTTCTTCAGAATCCATGTCTTGGATCACGAATTCTGTTCGAGCTGTTGTAAGCGCATGGACGCCACAGATGACACCGGTACGGTTTCGTTATTACGCAGATAAGATAGCAAAAGGTCCCCTTATACGACGATACGGATACGAAGATCCTATAGATATGAAGGGCGTTCTACCACGTACAAACAACTCTAAACGACTCCCGATGCCGATCTATCGACCAGCGGACGCTTGGTCCAACAAGAAGGCACTGTTCGGTCAGAATGACTATATTGACATATTGGGCTCGGATAACTTACATCCCACGAAAATTCTCTACAACGTACCCTCGTGGTTGAGAGGTGTCAGCGGCAATGAATTTCAGATTTTATTGCGAAAGAGAAAAATGTGGGCGAAAGGTATATTTCCAATTGCAAGACCCACTAAGTGGAGAGAGTTGCACAAGAGAATACGTTATCTCTACAAATATTTGAATCGTAAAACTAACAATACGTAGATCAAAACTAAATAGATCTAATTAAGTTTATCTAAATTAAGTTATATCAAAATGTGATACAAATAAATTTAATGAAATTCTAATTTAATTCTCATAAATAATTGTCACATTGTGAACATTCTATCGAGTTTTTACGTTTTAGGTGACATAATTACTATAACATTAGTTACAATTTACTGCTTACAGTAATAATTATAAAAAATATAAAATAATGAATTTATTTATTGACAAATAATTATCCATCGGATATACGATTATTTCATTACACTGAAAAACGCAAATACTTTTCTCGCAGAAACGCGGATTTTCATTTCGTAGAAAGATAAAAGGGATACATGTGTCGAGGTCGCGTATCATATATGTACATGGTCACAGTTGGTATGTTAATGGCTAACAGTTCAATATTATATTGCGAAACGACTGCGAAATACAAACGCTTCTGGACTGGAGTTAGTCTTCCTGATTAACTATTGTCAGTAAATTGAGTATTGTCTATTCTCTTAGAAAATAGTCACAGTTAACCGATATTATCACTGTAATATTTTGTAAGCTTTGACAATAGCTGATTAAGAAAACTTTGAATGTACTTATTGCGCGTTTTGTGGCATCTTGACAGAGGCATTGAAAATCGTATATTCAATATATATACTTTTTTGAAAGTTGTATATTATAAATTCCTTGCTAGAAGTTCGTCCTTGATAATTAATGACAATATTCACACTGTGCTGTTGCAGATACTTTACATAAAAAAAAATGTAATACTATCTTAAAAGTCCTATAGAGGCACACTTTTATACAGAAACTAGTTGACATATTTTGCCACCTCTGAAGATATTTCTTTTTTTTTTTTAGTTTTATGTTTAAGTGTGTACATAAATTATAATGGCAGTTACTTAAAATTGCAAATTCTTACTTGGAGGAACGATTATTATTGAACTATTTAACAATACGAAAAAAAAAAAACGAAAATAAAAGGAAACAAAATGTCACTTCATAAATGATTCTGTAAGAAGGATAATAAGGTCGTTTCGTAATGTTTGCTGGCATCCAAGCTTCTCAGACTATGCCTCTCATTAGGGTACACTTGCAACTGATACGGTTTACCAATTTTCACAAGGGCATTAATCAATTGGCTAGTGTGATAGAAATGTACATTCTCGTCTATGAGACCGTGAATAATCAACAAACGATTTTCTTCGTCGGGAAACTTGTTTACATATGTTAGGACCGATCCGGCCATATAACCATGAGAATTGTTCTGTGGCAAGTCCATATAGCGCTCAGTATATCCAGTATCGTAAAAGTTCCACGAGGTAACTGGAGCACCAGCAATGGCTAACTACGAATTGCGATAAGAATATATTTTTAAAGAAACTTCAAGTTCTAAGAAAATATAATATGCAGTAAAGATTAATTTATACGCACCTTGAATACATCGGGATACTGTATCAAACCCATTAAACTTAAGTATCCACCATAAGACCAACCATGAAGAGCTACTCGATTTAGATCTATGTATCCAGTAGCCTCTGCCAGCCATCTCAATACTTCGACTTGATCGTTCAGCTCTACTGTTCCCATCCTACGTCGCAAATGGCTCTCGAATATGAGACCTCTATGCTGCGATCCGCGAGAGTCTATTAAAATGACGCAATAGCCTTGAGCAGCTAACATGTGCATTCGTAAATGTCTTAAACCCTGCAGAAGATTAAATAATTAATAAGTCTTTTTACTTCATAAGAATTTACTTTCATAAGAATGAAGTATTTTTTACAAATGTAATTATGTTATTGAAAATATTAATTTTTATTTTAGAATGTATACATTGGAATAAAATTTATGATTGAAACAATATAAACTATTGTTTATTTCTAACATTTACAATGTTAGAAATAAACAATTATAATACAAAATTGAATGGATGAGAATAAATCTAATTAAGAGAAATCCTATTTTCGATCAAAGCGGATTTTAGTGCTTAAATATTTCAGTGCAAATTTATATACGTATTCAAATATTGCCAAAGTCTCGGTAGTCGAATTGAAAAGATATCCGCACGGAATACAGGAGATCCAGATTTGAATCATGACTGAGATCATATTTTTCGCAATTTTTTAAATTCTTATTAATATTCGTATAAGAAGTTTATTATAGCATCAATATTATTAAATTGCTTGCTAATTTGTGATATTACTTGCGTTTCAAGATTGGAAAAGATTTTGACACGCAGTTTATAGAATTAGATAAGTATATAAATTCATACTGAAATATTTAAGCACCAATTGTAAAATTCGCTTTGACCGATAATAGGATTTCTCTTACTTAAATTAATAAAGTTAATGAAATTTTTTTTCTAAAATTTAGAGTAAAATTTATTTGTAACAAATTTTTGAGTGGTATGTATGTTTTTTTTAAAGGAGAATACCTACTTTAAATGTGTTTGATACAAGTTGTACTTCGGGTCCTCCGTAAATATTCAATATTGTAGGATATTTAACTCCAGGTTGGAAATTATGAGGTTTAAATATCATCGAGTAGACCGTATCCCCCGACTTGATTTTATGCTTGAAGATCTCCGGCGCGAACAGCTCGGATTCAGGCGCTGCTGGTTCTAGGAGATAGCCTACGGGTGTGAGCGATATGCTCTCCACTGTCCAATCGGTTTGTGATATTTTAAATACCTGCAAAATTGACGAAGCAAATTACTGATCGTGTAAAACTAATATCATTAGGCGTATAAGTATCTTACAAGGAACGTACTTGACAAGTAGGCAGCGTTTTAATGGAACTATAAACAGTAACGAGCATTGTACATTCTTTGTTAAAATATACACTATTGTAACTATAGCCAGGCCGCGTCAGTAGCCGTATTTCTAATGGCCGTCGCAGCGAAACCGCGTAAACGTGTTGCTCCAGTGGTCCTTCACGTAATCCACAGAAATAAACAATGGAATTGACTTCGTCAACCCATATTTTCTTCCCTAGCACTTCATAATCACCCTGCGTCAGAGCTATCTTAGAAGTAATACGTGGTCGAAGAAATATACTGTCCATTCTATCCAAAGGTTCTTCCACTCCATTACTTAAGCCTATATTTTAATAGTATGTAAAACAATGCGTCGAGCAATGACATTACTATTGAAATGTATTATCACAAACCTGCTATACTGGATGTTATAAGATACAAGTGTCGAAACTCGGATTCCTCGCTCCCCCAGATAAATTTGACTTCGTTCGCGTCGTCGGACTTTAAAAAGTATAATAGGTCGTTCACGTTAATCCAAATCGGACTCTGTTCAGAGTATATCACTTGAACGCTCGCTGATGTGGGTGTGAAATGATTTTCAGTATTATACGTGTTCGGCGGTGGTTCACAAAAGTTGTCTATCGACAGTAAGACCAATTCCAGTTTCTGTTGTTTTCTGTCCAGTAGTTGCACCCAGACGCTACATGAACAAAGTAACATTATTGATCCATACTAATACAAGATCTTGTATATTTGAGTTTCGCCTTGAACTTACTATTGAGCATCCGGAGTCCATCCAACTCGTACCATGTATTCCATCCATGGGAACATAATGTGAAGAGGATATTGGAGCTCCAATATTTCGATATCGACAATGTGTAATGATTCTGTTAGACGAAACTGCACCATTTTCAAGTTACTCCTAGCATTGGGCATACCGGCTCTAGGAAATCTAAATTCATCTACTTCATCGGAATTTGACGAGGGGAAACAATATATCTTAACATCGCTCTCATCTACTTCTTCATACACTATCCTATAGATTCCATCAAACATGGACTTCGGCTGCCACCAGTAGCCAATATACCTATGATAGATAGAACAGATATTTTTATTTTTGCGTTTTTACTATATAATAATATTCAACAACAAATGATTCAACCTTGTAAATTCCTCCTGCATGACGTAGGAAGGGGTGCCGGCGGTGAGTGGATCATCCACGAGACTCCTGCCTCCTTTCCTAGCATGAGTTAACCGAACTGAAGAACCCGTGATACTATGAGACAGATACAGATCTCCCGAACATGTATGAGCGATCAAAGCATTATTCCAGGGACAGATCTGAGGACATAGTTTCGCACCGGTCGTCGACATCCTGATTTCAGATGGAAAAAGAGGTCCAGGCTGAAGGAAAAACATATAGATTCAATACTTTCTTTCATTAATTCACAATAATACATGGTACATTACCATAAATCCAGTATCCACACATTGATAAAGGCTGCTAGCAGCTGGAAAGACTAATTTTCCACTTTCCGCATGAATCTCGTAACTAGTTATACCCCACGTAGCAAGTCTTTTTCTTTCCCACAACAATTGTTCCTCCTTCGACAGTCTGTTCACACTTGATACACTAAAATCATCGTATAATTGATCTAGATTGATCTTGGATTGATCAATATCACATTAAACGATTCACTCGAGCAATGACATTATTAAATCACCCTGTAGTGGTGGTTACCTTTGGAAATTCGCTTCTATGACAGGTTGCCAATGCAATCGGTAGCCATTGGCATGATCTGCGTGTGCAATGTCCACGTACAGAAGAGTGGTCTCCCAACCATTACTCGGTGTGCTAAGAAAATAGATTCTAGTCCTGCAAAAGGGGAGCGCAGCATTATTAATCTTTTGACCAGATAATGAGCGAGCTTGAAGATATTGTATCGAGGCAAATGAGCATGTTTTCCTCACCGGCCGTCTGGGAGCGATCGGAAAGTTATGGAACTCGGCACAGATCCAGCCGACACCCCCGACAGTTTTCTCCTGAGATCGCTGACGACGGCGCGGAGCTCGGACCAGGACTTCCGCGGCACTGTGCTGTCGGGGAAGGCCTGTTCCCCCGCCGATTCGTTGCTCGTGGTGTCCATATTCTTCATACGTTGCCGGCGGCTTTTCCGCGAAGTCATTCGTCCCCCAGCGAGCACCTCCGCGGCCGTCTCGGCGCGCTCATGTCGACGCGTACTTGTCCCAGGAGCAGCGCGTGACAGATGCTGGTGTACGCGGGTACGACGAGCGGACACTCCGAATACCACGACGGGGCGATTTCGCGACAGGGTTACGGCGGGCCGCGCACGACGGTCCACGAGCGATACGCAAGACGTTACTGCGCGCGCGACCACGCACGGCAGCGGACGCTGCGGATGGACGTCGGACGTAGACGTGACGAGCGAGCGAGTGGGAGAGAAAGAGAGAGAGAGAGAGATATTTTATTTTTAGGTTATACACCGTCCTCCGCCACGGCCGCGGAGGTGCAGAGGTTCACTTTCACCTTCTCCCCGGCCTCGCTCGATTTCTCTTCGGCGGTCTCTCCCTCCTCCCAACGTCGTGCGACATTAATTTCCCAAAATCAAGCACTCATACCACTGCGACCACAACCGCCACCACCACCATCGCCACAGCAGCCGAGTCGCTGCCACGATCAGCGGATTAGCCACACGATTCCACCGTAACTCCACGTGCCAAGAATTCACCGCGAGTGCCAAAGATTCCAACCGAGCTGACGTTGTCACTCGAATGCTCGCACATGACAACGACTTTTATCTGCTCTTATCGTAGTTATCGTTGTTGCTCGTCGGAGGCTATTCTGGCTATCCAATGACGCGTTCGCGAGGAAGCGAAGCCACGTGAGAGATACGGTTACATGCGTATTCGCGCACACGTGTGTACATCGTACGTCGCATCGTGTCGCGTCGTCGCGATGACCCTTATTATTCCCGTCACGCGGATGAGAGATCTCCGCCTCCGTACGAGTCGTCTTAAAAGGACGCTCGAATTTAATCTTACGTCAGACACCGTCGAATACACGTTTTTTCGTTCTCGATTTTTGACATTCGCGCGAGTTGACGACTAAAAGCTGTGTAGTCACGTACTCCGGTTAATTAATTGTGTATACAGTGTGAGAGCACAAAGTATTCGTACAAGGAAATTTGTTATAAAAAAAAGCGTTATTTTGTAGAAAATAAACATTAATTAGCAATTTTATACAATGAATACATTCTATTCTAATTAAACGAGCTTAGCATGTATTCCTGATTTTAGAAGCTAAATTTCTCGTCTGTACGAAAACTTTTCGAGCATTCAAACAATATAATTTTTAATTTCCATTTATTTTTCGGATGATATATTTTGTATTGTACTCACTGTAGTAGCCCGTAAGAATTGGTTCGTATTTTCGTCGTTAGGATTTCTGCGTTCGATGAATAATCCGATTTGAGGTCGCACTTAATTATGTATTATTGCGCATTAAATTATAATTCGATTGTGTGTTAGCATATCTTTGAAGCAATAAATATCTTTTATGTTTAACGCGGTTTAAGATTCCTGTTTACTCACCATTATTATCTCAGAATGTGACGTCAAAAGCAAGAAAACAAATATAACAAAAATTCTTGTAAATTATAGGT